TATCCATTGTTGATAGTGGTGTGCTGAAGTCTCCTACTACGTATGTGTTTTCTCTGATGTCTGTTTTCAAAGATGACAATAGTTGTCTGATATATTTTGGTGCTCCTTCATTTGGTGAGTATATGTTAACGAGTGTTATTTCTTCTTGAAGTATTGTCCCCTTGATCATAATGTAGTGACTGTTGGGACTCTTTTTACCTTTTTGAGTTTGAAATCTGTTTAATATAAGTATAGCTGTTCCTGCTTTCTTTTTTGGTCCATTTGCTTGTAGGATTATTTTCCATCCTTTAACTTTGAGTCTATTTTTATCTTTTTTTTTAATTCTTTTTTTTTATTTTAAAGATTTGTTTATTTATTTATACAAGCACTGGGTACAGTCAGAAGTGCAGAAGGGTGAGAGAATTCACCAGAGCCAGAGCGGGGAGCAGAGCAGGCAGAAGGACCAAAATACACTGCTGAGGGGAGCAGTGGGCGGCAGGAGAGGTCTGTGCGCTTGTGGGAACCTCCTCCGGTGGCCTGGGAGCAGCTGGGGATCGAACCGGCGCTGCAGAGGCTGCGGGCAGCTTCGCAACCCAGCGCTCAACCGCTGCGCCACCAGGGAGGCCCTATTTTTATCTTTTGTAGCTAAATGTGTTTCCTGGAGACAGCACAAGGTTGGGTTTTGTTTCTTAATCCAGCCTGCGACTCTGTGTCTTTTTATTGAAGAGTTTAGTCCATTTACATTTAGAATTAATATTGATATGTTAGCATCTGTATTTGCCATTGTGTTTGTCTTTCCTTTGATTTTATTTATTTATTCTTTTAATAACTTTTTTTTTTTTTTGGCCTTCTTTCGTTGTTATTCGTCCCTCTGAGGTTCTGGCTTTAGGACTCCTTGTAGTATTTTTGGAGTGGGGGTTTAGTTGTAATTAAATTCCAGAGTTTCTGTTTCTCTGGGAAGGTCCTTATTCTTTCTTCATAGAGGAAGGAAAGCTTTGCAGGATAGAGTATTCTTGGTTGGCATCTGTTGTCTTGAAGTCTGTTGACTATGTCCCTCCACTTTCTCCTTGTCCATATTGTTTCTTCGGAGAAGTCTGATGTCAGTCTGATTGGTTTTCCTTTGTATGTTATCTGTTTCTTCTCTCTCGTCATCTTCATTATTTTTTCCTTGTCTTGGACTCTTGGGAGCTTTACTATTATGTGTCTTGCTGTATTTTTCCTTTCATCATGGAAGTTTGGTGTTCTTGCTTCTTGTATATCAATTTTCAGCTCCTTCTTCATGTTTGGGAAGTTCTCTTCAATTATTTCCTTGAATATTTTCTCTGTTCCTAGGTCTCTCTCCTCTCCTTATGGGATTCCTATAACTCTTATATTTCCTTTCCTCATGGAGTCAGATAGTTCCCGAAGTCTTTCTTCAGTCTTTTTCCTTTGTACTTCTCTTTCCTTTTCTGTTTTGGTTCTTTTTATTTCTGTGTCTTCGAGAGTGCTTATTCGTTCTTCCATTTCCTCTATTCTGTTATCACTGCTTTTCCCAGCATTCTTTAGCTCTCCTGTTAATCCTCTGATCTCCTGCATTTCCTTCATTTCCCTCTTTAGGGACTCAATTTCATTCTTCTAAGCATTGTTTTCCTTAATGACTTTCATCAGTTTTTTCACCACGGCAATTTAAATTCTTTTTCTGGAAGGCTCAGAAGTTCTTCCAAGTCACCGTAGTTGCAAGCTGGTGGGTGGGTTTTTTTTTTTTTTTTTTTTGGTGGTGTGTCTTTTTTCTGAGGCATTGCTACTTTGCTTGTAGTTTTTCTTTTCTCTGCTGCCTGTCTTCTAATTTGCCTTATGTGTTGGAACACTGTGCCGCTGGTACGGGCTGGCATCTTTTTGGTATGTTTCAGGAGTTTCAGAAACTGGCAATCCAAACGAATCAAAAACTGTTATGCCAGAAGTCTAGTGAGGCAGTGGTACTTTGAGTATGTTAATGGTCACTGTCACAGAATCTCTCCTCCTTCTGTGTATAGTTACAAAGGTGAGTCTTGAAGTCCCCCAGACTTCCCTGGAGGTGGGGCAGCTGGATTATACTCTGGGTTCCAAATCTCTGGATCCTCCTCTGGGCTCCGACTTCCTGCCAGGTGGGGCCGGGCTTGTGGGGGCCTTCAGGTCACCTCTGATTGCTCAGGGAACCTTCTCCTTCTGGCTCCATGGGGAGCCTTCTGCCAGATTCAAGCAGTCTTTATTGAAGAAACGTCCCTGTTCTAAAAAGGCAATGCCTGTACGCACTCCCCTGCGTGCCCGGTCTGCCCTGGCCTTGGGTCCCTGCTCCCCCTCTGGGCTTGGACTGCTGGCCAGAAAGGGCCTGGCTTGGGCAAACTTCCCAGCTCACCTCTGGCTCCTCTGGGAGCCTTCTGCTGGTTTCAAGCAGTATTTATTGAAGAATGGTCCCTATTCTAAAATGGCGATTCGGAGACAGGCACACTCTTCTGTGCGCCTGCTCCCCCTCTGGCCTCGGACTGCTGGTCAGAAGGGGCCTGGCTTGGGTGAACTTTCCAGCTCACCTCTGAGTCCTCCGGGAGCCTTCTGCCTTCTGCCGGTTTCAAGCAGCCTTTACTGAAGAAAGGTCCCTATTCTATGGGGTGTTGGTGATTTTTTTTCTGGTCACTAGGTGGCGCCAGAGATTTCTCCTAGTGTCCTTGGGGAGCTGTTTTTTTTACCCCTTGGGACAGGGGAACAGAGTGGGAGTGGTGGGGAAAGCCTCAACGGCTTTGAGGTGCTGTGTCTGCCTTGTGCCCCACCGTCATGGGGATCCCACGCCCCAAATTTCATGCCCCGGGCCTCAGTTCCAAAGCCCTCAGGTCTAGGACGCGGGCTGCAGCCCAGTTCAGTGTCCGCAGAAAAGGCACCTTTTGCACCCCGCTCCCGTGTCCAGGCGCCTGGTTTCTGATTACTCAGTGAGGGACATTCACCTCGGTGAGAGCCCCCGCGCATCTCCCCACAAGCCTAGGTAGCAGGCACGGGGACCTGGGCAGCCGCGATCCGCGTATCCTTTTCAAGCGAGCTGCTTTTCCACACAAGCTTACCGGCTCGCCTGGGGCTGTGTGTAGGTCTCCGGGAGTCTTTGTTTTTCTCTAATGGTGCCTGGAGCCCTTCACTCACCTCCCCAGAGAATCGTGCAGGGTTCTCCACAGCTCCAGTTCACTGGGTGTGGTGGCTGAAATAGTTCCTTTCCACTCACAGTCCCGCTCGATGGGTAGTTTGTTCTTGTTGGTTGCTTTAGTTTTTTTGTTTTTTTCCTCCTTTCTGTTGGTCAGAGAGTGCCGACTTTGTGGGTGGGGGAGGGTAGCAGGTTTCTGAGCTTTCCCTCCTTCTAGTCCTCTTTTATAGCAACTTTCTTCTTTGGGTAGTTTGCTGGAGTCACCTGTTTATCTTCCGTGTCCCAGTTCTCACTGGGACCTGCTGCTTTTCCTCCCTATTAACCTTTTTTTAATGGGAGATCTTAATCGCAGCGTTTCCTTGCCGCCATTTTGATCCGCCCTCCACAAAAATTCTTAATTTTTTTAAAGTCCAAAATTTAACAGACTTCCATTCTATCCTGTTTTCTTCTGACCCCTCTCTGTATTCAAGTACCAAGACCCAGAGTCTCTCTGCTTCTGAAGTTTCCTGTCAGAGTAAACTTGTAGCCTCTGCAGAGCTAGAAGCAGAGTGGCAGAAATCTGAACCCCAAGCTCTTTCTTACACAAACTTTCCAGTAAGCCTTTTCTTTTCCTGGCTTCCTCAGTGCCTTTGGGACAACCCTCCACATTGCTTCTGCCTTCTTCACAGACATGGAGGAGTGACCATTCTTCTCTCCATCTGTTCCCTCCCTCAAGGTTATATTTTGTGGGTTCCAAAAATATTTCACTGTACAAGTTTGTGTTTCTGTTTCTTCCTGATGTTTGGAATGATTTAACATAAAGGGATGGAAATATGTTCACCTTTCTGTCACAAAACTGGAAATCCTTGGGTTAGCATTATAAAGAGCAATGCTGGCATTCTAAATTGGGGGTGGTCATGAGTGAGGGCTTCTTCCCCAAATACCCCATTTACAGCTAGTGGCACAACATCACTACCCAAAACAGAACCAACTATTGAGTCAAGGTGGGAGAAACCCTCTGAACTCAAAACATTTAACTTGAAATGGGGATATTTTCAGAGTTTAATAATAACTTGATAATAGTACAATTACATTTTTATGGATTTTGCCAAAATCCTTTTGTTTTGTTTTGCTTTAATTGCCATGGTCATCTTTGTCTCTCAGACAGAAACAGCCATATGGCATGAGGAAACTGTTCTAGCAAGGTCAAGCTCAATGCCATGCAGTTAATCTGTGGCACAGCCAGGATTGGAATTCAGGTCATCTTTTCTCTAAGGGGTGCTACTTTTATGTCACACCACCTCCTGGATACGGCTGCCAGGCCACCAACCAATGATGAGGAAAGGGGCAAGGAACACAGGAGGGGAGCAGGCTCTAGAAAATCTGCAGCTGCCCACCCTACTCTCAACCTCCCCGGAAAGGCACAGTGATGCCACACTCCCCTGATCCTGGAGCTGGCACATTCTGCTACAATTTTTCTCCTCTGATGCTTCCTGAGAAGAGAGCACACAGTGTCATCACCTCTACTTAGGGAATAGGGAACCCAGCGTGAGAAAGCCAAATTCAACCACACAGGGCTGCTTGGTTAGAGGCTGCAAAGCTAAGCTCAAATACAGTATTCTCAACCCTTCCTTCTCAGTCAGGTAGGAGGAGGGGAGAGGGAGCCTCTCTCTGCAGCTCTGTTGGGGAGGGATGTGTAGTACATTTGTGGCATGTGGTCCCTAAGGTTCCCTCCCACTCACAGGAAGTCCAGACCTGCCTCATGGCTTCATCTTTGCAGAAGCACTTTAGCAGAGGGGGAGTCCCAAATTCTACAACATAAATTTGTGCCAGTGGTCATGTTTTTGCTTATAAAAGCAATATACACTTTGAAACTAAGAAATATGGAAAGATCACCTACCTAAACTGAATTCCAAAATGGGCTCATCTGGATCTTGTATATTTCCTGAATAAAAAAAGAAAAAATGATCCTTAAAAAACTTGTCCTTGCTTTTAGATTGTATACAATAAACCTAAAAGCTTTTCCCCTCTAAAACTGTTACATCAGATGATTTGTTTTTGAAACATTTTGCTTCAAGGATTCCTAAGAAACCTCAGGCTAGAAGACAGAAACCTCCTCCTGGGGCCTGCACATCCACAATAGGGAGGACTTTTATCGTGGCTCCGCCACTCACCAGATAACCACTGTGGGCTTCTGGCAGGTGGCCACCCAAACTGGAAAGCTGATGGCAGTCAAGTGCTAGTGGAAGCAGTTCCCAGCAAGAGGGAACTCCTATTCCACTTCCTATTCCCATAGCCAGTCAGAAAGATGCCATACCAGGGTGCCTCCAGGCTGGAACAGTCACAGGGAACTCTTCCTGGCTATTTGCTGGTTCCCAGGAGGCAGCTTGGCTCTCCCAGCACTGCGACAGTGTGCAACCCACACTCTGTGAGTTGGTACTAGGAGCCCGGCACTGCCCTGAGGGCCTCACCTGCTAGAGAGAGGCCAACCATGTCAGCTGCCACGTCGATGGTGGAAGCCCGCTGCATCGCACGGGCCCTGGCGCCATGGCGAGGGCTGTGCTCTCTAGCTGTCATGATGTCATTGGCGAAGATGTACTTCCTGTTCCTGGGTCAGACCACGCCTGATTCCCCGGGAAGCGCTATCACCAAGCCCTAGTTCCCTAAGGTGGTGGCAGTAGTCCTGTGAAATAGGAACAAACTTGAGGAAGAAACATAGGAATGGTGACCAAGAGACACACTGCCCTCTTATAGAAAAAGTGAGCTGAAATGGGCAAGATGCAGGGAACCTGGGGTATTCTGGCAGGTCAGGCAATAGAGGTAGAGTCTGTCATCTCAGTCTCAGCTCTACCTAATCACTTTCTTCAAAACTACCCCCCACACACCGCAAAAGGCAATATCCATAGGATCCCATAAAGAAACCATGTATTCTTAAATGAAGACATGCCACATTAAGTGATGGTTGAAATATAATCATAAATATCATTTTTGAGATTTTCTTGTTTGATTTATTATGCTTTTCCATTAGCAAGTCTCACAAAATCTTTACAATTTTATTATTTATTCTATTTTAGAATCTCTAAAATTTTAAACCAATTCACTATAACCTCTAACGAAGAGGTTTGCCACCCCCTGGCTCCAACAGCATGAAACATTATCAACACAAGGGTACATGTCTCCAGCCAGGTCTCTTTCTTCCCAAAGCTACAGAAACTTCACGTGTGTCTCAGTCTCAAGTTTTCTTTCCTGCAAAACATGTAAGTGATAATATAAGCCTAACTAAAGTGTATGGTGCTATGCTGTGGAAATGGAAGACTCTGGGCAAAGCGCCACTGCAGGCTGAGTCAGACAGATGCTCTAGCATAGCACAGAGCTCACAATCTTGTCTAAGAATGTGGTTAACTATCAAGAAGTGAGTTTCATATTTTTCAGTCCTCTGCACTACAATTCCTGCTGTCTCTAGAAGGAACCAACCTATACAAGCTAAAATAATTACACGGAAATAATAAGGCAGGTTTAAACATCTTTCTCCAAGGTTTCCATATAGCCAGACTGCCCTGTCTTCTCAGAGACTGTCAACATATTGCTATGCCTCAAGGGCCCTTGCTCCCACTCTAAAGTTAACTCACCCAGCAACTTACTGAACATGTTTGTTCTTGGACCAGTTGAGACACGTGGCATTTCTTCATAGAAGTACATCCAAATTCATCATCTGAAAATAGAAAGTCATGAACTTAACATCTGGTCAAACGTAAGTACCCAAGAATGTATATTATAACACATACCTTATAATTTCAATGCCTATAAGGATGGGGAAGCCAGGAATTATTATATGTTCTTTTGAGCTTCACACACCAACCTAACCTTTTGACTCAAAAACAAAAGTATGAGAAACAGAAAGTACACATTTCTATCCCCTCTTCGGGGTGATCCAGATGAAGTTGGGCCAGCCCTAAAACCCCTACCAGGTAGTTGGGATGTGGTTTGGGGTAAATGATAAAGTAAAAAGCTCAGTCTGAATCTTCTTGCTCATAAATAAACTACAGGTCCTGGGAGAAACTGCTGAGCTCCTCTGAGGCTCTGCTTTCCAGTGTCTAAGATGGTTATACCCATCTCATGGTGCTGAAGTGAGAACCAACTGTACAAGAATGGAAAAGGGCCCTGCAAACTCCTCTGGGCTCCCACCATACTGCTGCTGGGCCATTGGGTACCTTCCTATAAAACACAACACCAGGCTCTGACCAGCTAGGGGCTGTCAGGGTAGACTGCAGGGCCCAGCAATGAGCCATATGAAGCCCCATAGAATGGAGCATAGACATCAGCAAAAACAGTGTGCTCAGGCAAACTCAGTTTCCCTTGTAGGATGTGCTCCTACCCCTCTCACTGGGGACATCCCAGAATCATTAGGCAGGGCACCTAGCAGAGAAGACAGTGGCCTGGCTGGGGAGCCACAGACATCAAAAGACACACAAGTCAAAAAGAAGCAGTGGAAATGTTAACAACTATGAAAGTTCTTACAGTACAAACATCTGCATTTCAAGATAATGTTTGTACAAATTAAGCAAAAGAAATAAAAAGAAAACACTCACTAAAAATCCAGTGGCAAAAGGCAGAGTTCATAAAAGAGGAGGACACGTGGTAAACATTTAGGAAAAGTGACCAAACTCACTCATAATAATTAAAGCAGTACTAAATAAATCTGCATCACCTATTGATAAATCAGTCCTCTAAAAGAGGTTTGTTTGCTCTGAGAATATACTTTGCCAGCAGGGGTAGTAGAAACTCTATTAAGCTCTCCTACACTGTTCATAACATTTTAGCATGGTATAAGCATTTCAGAAAGCAATTTGACATTATTTATCAACATTTGTAAATAATAACAAAAATTCCTGCCAATAGTCCAAAGATGTTCACTGTAGCAATACTTATAAAGACAAACACTAGAATCAATCAAAATGCTCAGCTACAGGCAAATACATTCTGGACCATCTGTAAGACACTCTTTTTTTTTTTTTTTAAGATTTATTTATTTATGCATATAAGAGCTGGGGTGTAGGCCAGAGGTGGGGGGGGCGGTGAAAGGATTCACCAGAGACAGAGTGGGGAACAGAACAGGTGGATTGACTGAAATATACTGCTGAGGGGAGCAGCTCCCTAGCCAGGGATCAAACTCGTGCTGCAGTAGCTACAGATTGTTTCATAATGCTGACCCCTTGCACCACCAGGGAGGCCACTAAGACACTTTTAAATGGCTGCCAAAATTAATTAAAAGCTACTAAACACATGAAAAGTTCTTCAATCATAATTATCAGGAAAACACAAATTATAACAGGAGATACCTCAGCATGTCCACTAGAATAGCTAAAAAGGTCAGATAATACCAAGTGTTGGCAAGGATATAGAATAAACAGAAGACTAATATGCTACTAGTGGAGCATAGAATGGTACAGTCACTCTGGAAAGCAGGCAGTATTACTCAAACTGAACATAGGCCTACCCTGTGACCTAAAATACAAAAATCCAAGTTATTTTCACAAAAAAAAGAAAAAAGAGATAGATAAAGAATGCTTAGAGAAATAACATTCACAAGTATCAAAAACTAGAAATAATCCAAATGTCTGTCAATGGCAGAATGGGCAAAACCACGCAGCTGACTCATTGCCTCTGTCAAGGGGGAAAGCCAGACACACAGGAGTATATTCTAGGCAACTCCATTTCTATGAAGGTCAAGCACAGGCCAAAGTATGGCATGAGAAGTCAGAACAGTGGTATCTTTGAGGGGTGAGTACTGACTGAGGAATAAGTGAGGAAGCTTCAAGTGTTCTGGTTAGGTTCTGACTCTGGAGCTAAATTCCATGAAAGAATTTACTGTGTGAAAATTTATCAAGCTGTACATGCATGATCTTTACACCTCAATAAAGTTTCACCCTGTTAATGACTATAAAAAAGCAATTCAACATGAAAAAATGTTTATATCAAGTTCTACACTGTGCTTGTTTTTTAATGAAATATTCGATTTGTGCTCTCATTAGCCATTAAAAAAGACAGGACACCCCACCTCCTAGACTCATATGTTGAAATTTAACTCCCAATGTCCTGGTAGCTGAAGTAGGGTCTTTGAGAGGTGACCAGATAATGAGGGTGGAGCCTCATGAATGGGATTAATGCCCTTATAAAAGATACCCCAGATGGTTGCCTTGTTCCCACATGTGAGAACACAGCAAGATGCTATCTGTGTCCAGGAAGCAAGTCCTCAGCAGGCACTTAGTCTGCTAGCACCCTGACCTTGGATTTCTCTGCCTCAGAATCATGAGAGATAAATTTCTGTTGTTTATAAGCTATTCAGTCTATGGTATTTTTTTGCTAGCAGCCTGAATCTGAATGAATACACAGATGTAGTGTTAATATTCAAAATATATAAAGAGCTTCCAAAAATCAGCAGGAAAAATACAAACAACCCAATGGAAAAATGAGTAAATAAGTAATTTTTAAAATAAAATAAAGATAAACATAAGAAAATTATTGGCTACCAATAATTGAAGGAATGAAATCAAAAGGAGAATAAGGTGTTATTTTTCACCCACTGAACTGTGTAAAATTAACAAACTTTGGGAAGAATGTAGTTATTACTAGTTTCATAGAGGGTTGATGGAAATGTTAAATTGCTACTGGGGGAGGGGGATTTGGAGTATACTTTCACAGAATCTAAATTAAAACAAAACAATATGACCACGAAAAAATAAAATGAAACACAACACAGAAGGAAATAGTCAGCAGGAGACCCCATGAAGACAATGGCATGTTTGGGGGCAACCATGGAGAACTGGCATCTTTCTTAGCTCAAGGACATCCTCGTCCATCACCTGGGGCAAAGGCAGCACTCTGGGGAAAAACGAGTTGGAGAAAGCAGCTCTTTTCGTTGAACCTGTTCACAGCATTCCCTTCCCCTGCCTGGCTGTCCTACACAGCAAATTAGTGAGGTTGTGGTTACTCTTCTTGGGACAGTGGAACCATGCCACCTAACAGAGGGTGACAGCTGTATCTTGACATTTTGCTAGCCCAAGGAAAGGTCCCAAATCTTCCTTCCCTTACCCCTTTCTTGCAGGTTTCTGCTCACTCCACCTGCCTGGTGGTTGCTATCACAGGCAATGGGATAGAAATGGGGATAGAAACGCTTAAAGGGGAACATTTACAGACTAATTTTACTCTTGATAGAGTTCACAGATCAGAGAAGCTTTTAGGTCAAAAAGCCCTTAGAAGCCACTTCACAGTTATTTGGGGGCATTTAATTAAACTCTGCAATTTAAGTCATCAAGACTCAGAACACGAGGCTAATTTACACAGCTAAACTTGATTTCCCTTATTAGTCTCATTAATTTAAAGCAATTCACCAAGGATTTATATTCCCAAGGTCCCTGTTTTTCCTCCTAGCCCGATTTGAAGACTAGAGCTCATTAGGAAGAAAAACTACACTTAAAGAAGACGGGTAGTGTATGAGAGTTGGGGGACTGGAGTTTTCTTCTTGAGAGCAAGAAGAAAAAGGCAATAACTCATTAAGCTATCTGCCTCCTCTCCTTTCTCTGTGAAAGATGTATGGCCCCTTATGACAAGAAGACACACATCATTAACTCAACAGCAATCCCAAAAATGTCCCTTCCACCCACATGAGGTACGGGAGACAGAGGCAGAAGGATGGTGATACAAGAGGAGAGAGATGTTATGATTCACAGGTTTGTGGGATGAGAGAGTTGGCAATAATTGTCAGAAGCTTCGCAAGGAACCACACTTGGGAAAGGTCTGCCTGTTCTCCCTAGAGTTAAGGAATTTCAGGTCTCGAAGAGGTTCTGGAGCCCCCTCTGGCTCAGTTATCTCATGGAGACCTCTAAGCCTGAGTGGAGGGGAAGGACTAAGCACAGAGCTGCACTTTCATCCATTTTATACACTGAGGTTCTTCTGAAAATAAACTTCAAAAGGAGTTGCACAGAGGCGGCCATGGAAGCCCAGACAGGATGACTTTCTCAAGGTGCCATGGAAAGAAAGGGTGAACTACCAGAATCAACCCAAAGCATAAAGCCCAGACACAACTGTGGTGCCATTCCCAGTCTACTCCACCCTATCACGGTCTTGTGGGCAGCCAAGTGGCTAACAGGAAGCCTTCACAGATGAAGCAGCAGGACAGAAAGTCTGATGAAAGGTCTGAATGAGAGCATGAATCAGCAGCCCCTGAGAAGGCTACTTCAGGAGTAGAAACAGGAAGTTTTCTCTCAAAAACCCAAATCCAGGACAGCCACAATCGTTGACAACAGAGGCATCACACCACTAACTGGCAACAGTAACTACTACTGATAACCTGAGCAAGGCAGCTGCTGCCTTCCTGCAGGAGCCTGTCCTCACTGGGGCTCCCTAACACGGATATTGGATATCGGCTTTGCATCTCAAGATAATGCTCTTGCTCATGGGAGGATCAGCTGGTCACCTGTGCCTATGACCACCAGATGCCTGGTTTCTTCCATATCTTCCTGGGTGCCTAGTACAAGCCTAAACATGACTGGGGGTCTAGCAACCACCTACTGGGAAAACAAACTGTCGAGGTCTCTGGCAGACAGCACTTGCTCACAGTATCTGCCTTTTCCCTTCTACACAGGCACACGACTTATTACTCTCTCAGCCCCTTCTGGTTTGGTGAAGGCGTGTAACAGAGGGAGACGCAGA